TCTGTAAAACCTTCAATCCCTTGCCAGGCACTCATGTTTTTCTTACCTGTTTGTGCTGAGCTGGGCAGCAAGAGGAGAGCAAGAACCATGAGCAGTTTTCTCTTCAGATCTTCAACCATCTTCCTGTTCATCCAGTACAAGTATAAGGATTGTACAGGGGAAAAACAGCTCTGGTTAATGATTAGCTTGACTCTGTAATGATCAATCAGCCTGTGCACTTTTGGGAAAATGACCAAATTTGGATTTTGAGAAATTACCTCTGCTCTTACTTAACCATTAGTCAAAATTTGAAGCAGAGGCTTCACTGACTTTTTGATTAAAGGAGATGTTGACCTTCCTTTCCTCCCTAACTCCCTTTCCTCAAGGGAAATTCTCACTTCAGAAATCAGCCAGTGAAACCAGTCCCAGCAAGCGATAGAGTTACAGTGCTTTATCCTTGCTACCGCGACCTTTCTGCCAAATTCTGACTAGGGATGCTGGTTTATCACAAGGCTTCACAGTGAGTCCATGCCAGGACTTCATATCAGCCTTGCATCATATTCTCCTACTGCATTGCTGTCTTTCCTGTATTTCTGCTTTTGGTCAGATACCTGTAACAGTCTAATAAAGGCAAAACAGTGGATTATACATGAAAAGTGAGGGAAAGGCAGGCTAAAATGTAACTGCTGGTCACATCACCATAACAAGCCCAGACCACATCTTTTAGGGTGGGGGCACCCTTCAGTAATGCACCAGCATCATAAGCATACAAATACTTCAAAAAGACCTTTGAATAAAAAACTTTTCCACTTTGATGTATACAGATGGAGGAGCATAAGTGCACACCCAGATGTGTAACATGGCATTGGTGATGTGGAGGTACCATATCCCTGGCTGAGATGGGCTTTCAGGTAAGGACACACCTATATTCTCTGTGTTGGTCTGTCGTGTTGGACAAAGCAGCTTTGCCCCTGGCTGTGCCAAATGGCAGCAATGGTAATGAGCAAAGTAAAGTTCCCTGTCCAGGTACTAATCTACAGTCGCTTAGTTGAACAACATAATTAAGAAATTTCTTCAGTCTGACCAGGAAGATGACGAAAGACATTTCAAAAAGCATCAGACACTACTTTTCGTTAGAGCTACTGGTGATAGCAATGATTTCCTTACCCCAGTTTGCTCCAGCTGAAGGCTTTGGGGCTCTTTTAGGCAGAAGTTCATTGTATCTCCAAATCTTCTGAGATAAATTTCTCCAGTTTTCACTGAAAGTTAGGCAGCCTCAGCTGCCTGGCCTGGAGGGCTATTGAATCCCACCCCAACTGCATCCTCCCAGAGATACATGCAGAGATACCTTCTGACCCTGAAGTGCTTGCCTCCAGGATCAAGCTGGCTTCTTATTGTCAAAGAAGCAGGTCCTCAGTGTCTCACAAATATGTGACTGAGTTTGTCAACCCAATCAATTTTCCAAGACTGAAAACTGCAATGCCAATAACCATCTCCTGGCTTCCAGCCCACGCTTCATCTTTCCATTCCCAGCATCAGATTCATCTTATTTTATCTTACAATTCTCAGATTGTAAGATAAAGCCTGTGCACTCCAATGGGCCCATTTCTTCTTTGCCAAGTCCTATGGAAATTTTGAAATTACTTGTAATATAAAGCAGGCACCACTATGACAGCCTTAGAGTTAAACATAATTTTGGCCAAGATTTGCAGATCTGGTTTTATTTTGTGTATTTGCAGAGCTGTTAAACAACATCCTGGTGCTTAATAATTCTGCAAATGCACAAAACTGGATTTTTTTAAAAAAGAAATGTCTTAATGAAATTGAAAATTCTGTTTCCTGAGCAGTATTTTTTCTGAATTCTCAGATTTAATAATTCCTGGATTTGTTTTTATTATAGCATCACACCATGGCAATTTCTTATGCAAACAGCAAAAGCCACTCAAGTTACTCTGTGCTTAAAATGCTCTTACTAGTAAAGCTATTTTAGTATTAATGGTTTTCTGTTTATTGCTTGTGAACTTAATTACAGTGTAATTACAGTTATATTAATTCAGAAGGTTAATGCCACTTATTTTGCTTCCCAATGGGAGTGATTATAATGGCAATGGGAGCACTATTGCAAAGACTTTCAAATCACTTTATATTTCTTTTAACAGTCCCTTACAGCACACAGTCATGAAGCACAGTGTGATTTGCTTGCGAATGTCAGGGATAGTGAAAGCAAACAAACTTGATTTTATGCACAGATTCTTTTAATTAAAAAGCAAATTTTAAAAATGTGCTGTCTGCACATTCAAACTGCTGAAAGTGCCCAGCTCAGCTGAAAGTGTCGAATCCTCACCCACAAAGCAGCAGCTGGCAGAGGCATGTAAGCACTGCCAATACCCAGTGGTCAAGTGGAAATCTGGTCACAGGAAAATTCATTCAGCCTGGAGAACTGATTTTTGATACTTGAAACAATGCAGCTGGGGAGCAGCACCAGACCTTGGGGGAAGCCAAATGTGAGCTAAGCAAATGATGACTATTGAAGCCTCTCCCTGTGGCCTTTGCATTTGAAGAAGGGCATGAAATACACCCCAAGCTTAGCTCAGTGTTCATTAAGTTCTGGATCCCCCCTACTGTTGGAATACTTGGTCTTAGAGCTCCTGTATTTTCTCTCATTTGTCTGTGAAGTAGAAACTATGGCCCTGTGTTAAGCATGCAGTCTCCTGTGTATTGTTCCCAGGATTGACAGAGGAACCAGGATTTGTTCTCATCTCAAAGCAAGTTGACCTCCCTGCTTTCAGAAGTGTGTCCCAGCAATGACAGAGCAGGAGGTAAGCATCAAAGATGTTTTGGCAACTGAGGAAGGGAAAACATGGGCAAGCCTGTTTGGGTACTCTGTCAGGAAAGGAGGAAAAACAGCCATCTGAGCCTTTTTTTGAGTACTTTATGGATCTTCCACCTGGTATGCCTGTATAAGTATGCATAAGGGAGAATGCATCCTTACCATGTATCACCAAGTAGAAGAGTCTAGGTGAGGGCACCAGCCTCCAGGTTCAAGTTTTTCTCTCAGTTTCTCTGCCCTGTGAGGCCCTAATCATCTTCTACAATTTGGAGCAGCTTAGTAGGAAGAACACAGGCCTGCCTTAAGTGCATGTGCATGACCTCCTGTGGTTCCTTCCACCCTGAAATAACCTGTTTCAAAGTGAAACTGTGTGCTTCAAATTTCTCTCTCCTAACCTCAAAGATTTCATGACCTACAGGAAAGCTGTATCCTGGAAGCATTGTCCCAGCAACAAGGTTCAATCCAAAGCCTCTGACATCTTGGGAGGACATTTCCCCTGACAAGAGGATGAGTCAGCAGCAGAGAACATGTGCTCCTGCCATGAGAGTGCTGCAGGAAGATGGCCATGTTACATTTCTGGCATAAACACTCTGACTTGGAGCCTTTACAGGGTAGGGGGCTCCCTTTGACACTTGTCAGAGATCAAGAACAGAAGGGAAAAGGTAACCAAGGGACAGATGTGTCCATGTCACTGAGCAGAAGGAATTTATGGGATGGGCCTGTCTCCATTTGTAAGTGAGCTACAAGTCATGGCATTCCAATGCAGCTATGGAGAAAGGATCAGTATTATTAGGTTTTTATAAGAACTGAATGCATTGCTCAGAATGCATTGCTCAGAAGAACTGAGCATTGCTCAGCTCAAGATGCAGTGTCATTCCAGCTCATGCTGCTGCCTTCAGCGGTGAGTCAAAGGATCTTACAGTAACTCCTAGATGGAGGGGGAAAAATCCCTCAGAGCTGGGATTACTTCAGTGTTTACTCTGGTAGGACCTCTGCTTAGAGATATCCATGGCTGCCAATTTATTTTTCTCTGTGTGATGTGTGAAGTGCAAGGCTGAGGTCTCTCAAAGGGGTGGTGAATAGTCCGACACAGCTGCTCCTCAGTGAGTGTGGGGGCCAAGTGTGCTGAGAGAAATCTGAGAGACAAACCTGTGGTGAGAGCCTCCCTCCCAGCACTGTGCTGTGCTGGTGTTCCCCAGGACTGACAGACACAAGCTGCTGGGAGCTGAGCATGCTTTGGGGCTGTAAGGTCTGCACCTCAGGTAATGCACTGGGAGTGGAATGCAGGCGAAGGAGGTTGAAGCATCCACTCACAGCAACTCACTGCCGGGAGAGGGAAGCTGTCTCAAAGCTGCCTCTGGAACACTGTCAGAGCAGCAATTTTTCAGTAGCTGCTGAGTACTCATGTTTTCCAAACTGTTGTGGTTTTGCCTTTCTTTCTCAAAAACACTCAGTAGTGTCAAGAGGCCGGTCATCCACTCATGAAAGGGAATCTAAGTGTGTTTGAGTTTTGTGAATGGGCTGCTGAGCAGCTGGTGTCAAAGAAAACCCCTAGAAGTCAGAGTTGGTTTCTGTTCTATTTATTTCCTTCACTCACCTCCCCCAGAGATCAACCTCACCTTGTGTGGAACAGGAGAGCGCGGCCCACCCTCAAAGGCAGATATTACCAGGTGTCCCTCGAAGAGAACAGGGGACATTTTTGGGAGCACGAGGGTGGTCAAACACCAGGCTCTAGGGAGTGTTAGGAGCCGGAGCTTCCCCTGCTCATGGCAGTGGGGCTGGGACTGACCCATCTATTCTGTGATCATTTTCGGAGGCGGCGGAGCTACGTGCCGCCTGCTGAAATTCGTTCTTCACCTAATCTGCGTGGCTCCCATCCACACTAAATGGATTTACTTTCACGTTTTCAATTATCACAGCTGAACCTCCCTGAGGTAAGACCAACCCAACAGCTTCTGTCGCCAGCACTTCCTGGAGGCGCGCCCCACAAGCCACAAACGCCCTTCGCTGGCACTGCAAGGCCGTGTGTGGCATCCGACCCCGCACAGGGCGCACGGGAGGCCGAACCCTCCGTTCCCCACGCCCCGGAGCTCCCGGCTGAAGCCTCCTCGGGGCCCTCCCCGCGGAAGCGGCTGTCGGCGGGCTGGGGCGGGACGGGCGCGGCAGCTGCCGGCTTTGGGCTCTGCCGGGGCAGTGACCATGCAGGCGCCCATGTGGCTGCTAACCTCGCTCCTGTGCCTCTCGCTCCTCCTGGGTAAGCTGTGAGAGCGCTGTGGGGACCTTTCCCGACTCCTTCGCGTTCCTTCCTCCGTCCCTCTGTCCCTGTCCCCGTGCCGCCCGGGGCAGCGGGAGCGGGGCACCCTCGGCCGCCGCTCCCCGGGCATTCGGGCGACCGTGTTCCGGAGCCGGGCGCGGCAGGGATTTGGGAGAGCCGGGAGCCCCTCACGATCCCTGTGACAGTGGCTCCCTGAGGGACGGGCGTCCCCGGCCGCTCCTGCCCTGCCCAGGGCGGCGGGCACCACCGAGTGGCTGCTTCGGTCCCGCGCCTAAAACCAGAACATGGCTTGTGTATCGGCCATCCGCACGTCCAGGAGCTCCCCTCCCTGTTGTCGGCAGGTTCCTGTGCCCCGTTTGCTTCAAACTTGCGTTGACGGGAAGCTTGGGGTGGGGATGTGTGTGATTTTTGTGGTACAAGTAAATGATTACCGTTGACTGCTGCTGAAATAATCAAAGGGCTTCTTAATCTTAATCCAAATGCCACCGCTGTGCCTTAGGAGCATAATCCTTACCCGCATAGCCCTTGCACTGGGCTGTGAACATGAGGAGGATAAACAAAATCTGTTCATTTTTGAAATTGAAGATGGATGTACAAACGTTCTTGTTGTCATCAGAGTGAGCTGCTATTGTTAGATGGGCCAAAAAGCATGATTTAATCTATGAAGACCTTATCATTCCTTCTGACTTTGGGTTTTGGATTTTTGTTTTGTTCCGTTTTCTTTATTTTTTTATTTTTTTTTTTTTTTTTTTTTTTTTTTTTTTTTTTTTTTTTTTTTGCTTTGGGAGTTTCATGAATGTGCCTAAAATAGGAGCTATTGTATTCCCCTGTTTAAAAAGGAACTTCTCTATTGCTGAGAGCTCAGAGCACCTCCCTGTGATTTCCTCCTCATACCATTCCTGAGGTCTTCAATTTGCTTTATTTAATTGATATGGAGAGGTCCTGTTCTGTAAGAGAGCATTGGGGATCCCGGTGTGCAGAGAGGACCAGGGGAGAAGCCGGGACACTGCACCCTGCATGACTGTGCCCATGTTAAGCCTTAGCTGCAATTTCTCATCTCACCTGCAGCGCTTTTGACGAGTTCTAAATGAGTGTGACTAAGGCATGATTAACTGTATCTTCTTGTAACTTTCTCTGTGAGTCGAGGCACTTATGTAAGTTGGAGTGCTGCTGCTACTCTGAGCACTCAGTCCACGTGCTATAGAATTGCCTAGAGAAAAAAAATTCCAGGTTCCTAAGAACTTACAATTGAAAGGAAAAGGTGATGGTGCTTAGACAGCTAGAGAGTGTAATTGTGGCTGCAAGTATCATAATGTCCTCCTTTAATGAAAAACTTAGCTAGTTCTGTTGTCTTCTCTGTAAAACTTTGATTCTAAAGTGGTTGATTAGGGCGGGAGATTGGGAATGCAAACACTTTACTGTTGTTCACTAAACTAAATAGCCAGGGTTTCACACCATGTTCTTGTTTGTATGCTTGCATTATTGCTGTTATGTATGTGTTGACTATGTGTAAATATTTAATGTTAATTTTAACAAGGTAAAATAACCCATCATCTCTCCATGTGAAAATCAAGGCCCTGAAACTCATACTGATCTAGTGCATGAAGTAAATCAGTAGCAGTTCAGCTTGGCAAGCAAGTTTCTAGCCTTGCAAACACCTGTTCTAAACACAGGATGCTGTTGTTAGATCCTCATCCTTTGTCAGCTTTCCCCTGCAGAATCCTTTCTCCATCCAAATTAAAAGCTCTTCACTTATCCCAGTCATGCTGCTGAATGTCTGGAGTAGGCGAGAAGATGTCCTTCTTCATTCCCATGTGGAAGTCAGAAGCTGCAGTGTAGCTTTGGTGCCTTCAGAATTCCTGCTCACCACATAGGGATTCCTGCTTTTCACAATGCCAGGCTAAGTCAGTTTTTTATCTGGTGAAACCTCAGACTTGTCAATTACAGCACAAAACCTCACCTCAAGGCTATGGAAGGACTTTGATTTTAGACCTACCAAGAGCATGCTCATTCAGTTCTTGGAAGTTCAAGACAAAACTGTTCAGATCTGGGATCCTGGATGTTGTCTGTGGATGGAAAGAAAGTCAGTGTGGTATCTGTGGCCTAGTTTGGTGAAGGAACCCACAGAGTCTCGCGACTTCTGCTGATCAGAGTGACCCTGAGATACGTACAAGCCTCTTTTTCCCAGCCTGGCTGTTAAAGAAAGAGTCAGGATTTTTCTGTTCTCGTTCTCAAGGTTGTTTATTGTTTCTTATCTATTACATTCTTTCTCCAACCCACTGAGGTCTGTCTGGCAGGCCGGGTTGAGGCACACTGCCCACCTCAGAGGCGGTGTTGTCTTTTATACTAAAAATGACTTGTACACTATTTACAACAACTTTCCAACACCTATCACCTATGTTAGACAGTGAGTTTCTACTCTAAACCAATCTAAAGGTGCCAGCATCACCCAGAACATGGAGGCTAAGAAGAAGAAAGAAGGACAGGGCATGCCCAAATTCCTCCATCTTGGGACCCTGAGCCCCCATTCTAAAAACCTCAAAAATCTATTTTTCACCCTGTGATAAATTCACTATCATTCTCCTTAAACTTTCTTGACTTGTAATTCTTCATATAAAGGTTGGTAATTGTTTTTTCCAAGGGCTAAATCAAAGGCACAGGGGTTTTGGGCTCTGTGCCAAGGTGTCTGAGTCCCCCAGGCAGGGGCTCGAGTCCTGCAGGGCAGCCAGAGGAATTTCCTGGGTTCCAACAGCAGAGAGATCTTTTTGTCCTCCCTGTGGAGGAAGTGAATAAATAATACCATGCCAAGAGGGGGATCACAGTGCAAGCCACACTTGTGAGGATGTTCTGTTGCACTGCAGATGGCAGCCAAACTTGCTTTAGCTGCATCAAGATCCTGCCCCAAAAGGAGAGGGAGTATGGGAAGTAAGCTGGATATGTGAACTAGAGCATCTAGAAGCATTCTGCATCTGATAAGTAGTAAGGCTCAACTGAAAGCCACACAACTCTTTCAGTGTTCTGAGCATCAACTCTTTTTTTATGCAGTATTAGTTCTTGCCTTCTAGTTCTTGCATATTCAGATCTATTCCCTAATGCCATTTTCATTGTATGATTGCATTAATGGCTGCTTTGTTTCTCAATTTAACTTCTTTATAAAAATTGAGTTAAACTGAGAAAACCTGGTTCACCTAAAAGCAGAAGTTGCCATCTACGGTACTGAGCACAGACTAACAACCTGAGAGCTGATAAAAATGATTTTTCTTTCAGACTTCTTCTGAGAGTGACCAGCATAGAAAGCAAACTTCCCTCAATGTGGATTTTTGTGGCTGTGTCATTAGGCAGTTCAACAAGTTTGGGCTTGTTTTGTTTATTATTATTTTTAAATTTCCTGGTTTTTTTTTCTCTGTACACACAAATATATCTTCCTTTCTAAACTTTTAAAAATCAGAAAAACACTGGGGTTGCTCCATGTTTCTTCTGTGTCTCTCCACTCCATGAGAGGTGTCATAGGAACTACACTGTAAGGCATTGCAATGAATGTGGGAAAATCTGGACTCCTAACAAATTCAGGTTGTTTGTGGAATGTGGTTATTTTCTGTGTTGCTAGTAGAAATGTCAAACACAATATTAAATAGTATAAATGGAAAAATCAGTTATCAGCACTATGAAGCTGACACCTACTTGTGTTGTTCTGTCCCCTCACCCTTGAATCTTCCTGAATAAACAGAGGAATTATAATCAGTAATAAATTCCACACACAGAGGGGAAAAAACGTCAAACTAAACCTTTGCCCTCTCCTTAAAAACTCTTGATAAAAGCTGAGGTTGTTATGTCATGTTAAAACCAAAATGAAACAATATTTTTGCCATTCCTATTCAGCACTATAGGATGAACAGAGTGAAATTTTTTTTCAGATAGTTTCTTGCCTTAATGTTATTAATGATCTTAGACTTTAGAGAGTGAAGATCATCTCTCGATTGCATACACTGACTCCTTTGATTCTGGGTGTGTTAAAGGTGTTAAAAATGGGTGTAGCTTTGTTTATTTTGGGGGGTTTTTTGTGTGGTTTTTTTTTTTGCTTTTGCTTTTGGGGTTTTTTTTTGTTTGTTTGTTTTTTGGGTTTTTTTGTTGGTTTGTTTTGTTTTGTTTTGTTTTTTTGTTTGTTTTTTCCTTACTAGTCCTCCTATCTGTTTTCAGCCTCAGGAGAGCCTTTTGGCCCTGTTCAGGGTGGTATGACAGTGGGCTGGCTGGGTGATACAGGGTTTGTAAGGGACAGAGGTTGTAATTTGGAGTGTTTTTAAGCTGGTGTTGCCACAGGTTGGGAACAGTTCCTGTCTGTGGCATCAGTTTGTGTCATCCTTTATAAGTAGAACTGCAAAGATGATCTGGCTGAAAATGAACCTGATTGAAGGAAAGAGTTACCAAGACAGATTATTTTCCCAGTGCCATTGATTACAGAGCCTACATGAAGATGTGCTTGTACAGCACAGGAAGTGCTGCTGTCTGGATGCTAGGAATAAGTGACCAGAGGATTTGGAATCATGGAATGGTTTGGGTTGGAGGAGACCTTGATGGTCATCCAGTTCCAACCCTCTCTATGGGCAGGGACACCTTCCACTAGACCAGATTGCTCAGAGTGCCATCCAGACTGGCCTTAAACACTGCCGGGGATGGGGCATCCATTCTCTAGGCAACCTGGTCTAGTGCCTCTGGACTGCTTTCAAACAGCTGCTTTTTTCATAGTTCAAGGCAGGCTTCAATGCAAGTCAATTCTGTCCCTAAGCAAAGCCTAGAGACTGTAAATAATCAATAATCTGCAGGACTCAATTATCCTTTGTAACAGTTCACCAGTGCAAAAAGTGGCGATTCCCAGTCCTCTCCCTCCCTGGCCTGTTCCAGTGCCCAACCGCCCTCTGGGTGAAGAACCTTTTTCTAATATCCCACCTAAACCTCCCCTGACACAACTTCAGGCCATCACTTGGGTCTTGTCACTGGTCACCGCAGAGAAGGGATCAGTGCTCGCCCCTCCTCTAGGCTCTCACTCTTGTTCTGCATTTTGCTCACTTCTGCTGCATTCCATGCACGAGCACTGGTGTTCCCACAGTGAGTCACATCCGGGAGTTACAATCCTTCTGTGGGTGTTTTTGTTGTTTCTTTAGTTGGAGTGGGGATGTGTGTGAAGTTCAGTCTGTCAGCAGGTTGTGCTCTCTGCATGCCTATTCCACTGCAGGAGCAGGCAGACAAAAAAAGGGAGAAGGAAGAATTGGTAAGTCATCCCCATGCATAGTTTAAAAATGACTGGGTAGCCTCTACATGGGAATGCTGCCTGTTGTTGGGCCCTTGCTGAGGGATATGACTGAAGGTATGGATTTTGTGGTAGGGAGGGACCCAGGCCTGTTGGTAGGTGCCACCCTTGGCTGATGTGTAGAGCTCTGTAGATGCAGGCCCATATTGTCCAGGAGAACAACACACACATCTCTGAACGTGCTGCAGTGTGCAGGAGAACACATCTGATTTGGATGTTATATGTAGAATTTGAATTCATTCCTGCACAAATTTTATCTGATTTTATCTTGCCACAACCTGGGCTGCTGCTACAGCTTATGGTTATCTGTGCTCTCTCTCCCCTGGCTGTAGCTTTTGTCTGTGCTTTTACACCATAGCTCTAAGTGCTTTCTTTCTGGAGTTTGGGAAGTGGATTGTTTTTGTGGCCTGTGGGGGAATTCAGAAGGCTATGATTGGTGAATGTTCTCATAGTCCTTCTGAACATTTGTTTCAGGGTTTTCTGTACCTGGTGGTTTTCAGGGTTAGGAGGGAGCATAATTGTCTGTGGTTACAGTTGCTGGGGATTTCAAAATTCTAAAAAAGCTGAAGAGAGGGGGGTAGTTGGGAAGTTACAACAATTAAAAGAAAAATTTACTCTTTAGAAAGTCCTACTCCTGAAGCAAATAAACTACTTATAAAGGCTTTTCCACCCATTTTCAGCAGGTGGAATGTTAGTGTCTTAATGGTAATAGGAGAACCTAGCTGCTTCCTGTATAGACCTAATATATACCTATATGGATATCAAATAGGTATTTGAGATCAAAAATATTAATGATAGCATTAAACATAAAAAGGTCTTAGCTTACAGATGTTCTCCAAAATAACTAGGCTTTATGTCAGCTCCAAGAAAAATAGTGAAGCAAGTCAAACCAGGCAGAAAAATTTGGTAAAGAAACATTTATTGCTAGTAAATGGAGAATTAAGTTCTACTTAGTTTGAACTGAATATTAGTCTGAACTGAATCTTTCAGCATTTTAGCAGCCTTTAGCCTGCTAAAATGCTGAAAGAGTCAGAAGTAGTCTGGGGAGTATTAAAACTCGAGTACAGCACTGGGATGTGTGGGTCTGGCTGCTGGAGAAGTAAGAGCAGAAGATGATGTAGACAAGGTGAGATGTTGGGTTTGCAGAAGAGGCTTTGCCCACACAATGTTAGCTCCTCTTTGTCTGTGCCACTTTGGGCATGTGATTTGACTGGAAGGAAAGAAAATAAAGATTTGGCATAAGAAGGAATTTGAAGAGGGTTTTAGGAGACGCAGGAGCCGGTAGTCTGATGGTTTCTGCAGAGGCTACTGGAGGCCATAGCACAGCACTATTTTGTGAACTTTATCTCAGAATAATAGGCTACAGCAAGAAAAGAGGGAGAAGGCAGAGAAATTAAAGAAAAGGCAGTTCTAGCCTTCCAAAAAGAGTGTGTGAGAGAGTGTTTGGTTGTCACTTCTCCCTCTTTGCTCACCACTGTGGAATAGGAAATATGTTTTCATATAAAATGAAGTAGAAAATATGGGGAAGGGTTTCTCAGGAATTTAGAAAACATGATGACACATGCTTTTCCAGAAGCTCAAAGATGTGTGGTTATGAGCTTATGCAATATTTCTGCATGATTTCTTTGAAAAAAGGAAGCTGACGGCACTGAGTGGGAGACTTCACATTTTCACTAGGACAGTGAAACACGGAAATAAACCCAGAGATTTGAGTTCTAGGGTGGGAGGAGATGACTGTTATCCTTGAAGAATAACCTTTTCCTTGTCCTGCTGCTGGGAGCCCTGAATGCCCTTGGGAGGAGCTCATCAGCTCCTTGCTGCCAAGCCTTTGTTCCACCAGCCAGCAAGAAGAGAGTGTGCTGAAGACAGCACATCCCCCTGTGCCATGCAGACCCTGTGGAGAGAAAATGTAGGTTTTCTTCAGCTCTGCTTTCCTTCAGCCCCACTCCTGGGCTTGAAGAAGCAACAACTTTGCTCTGATAACTCCAGCCTAGCACTTATGACTAACTGAGAGCAAAGACATGGAGCATTTACCTGGTTGTGGGTAAGTGGTTGGCTGAGCAGTGGTGGCTGTCCTTGCTTGTGCTCTCAGGGCCCAGCAAGCAGCTGCTGTCCTTTCTGGAGGCTCTTGTCAACAGCCACTGTGGTTTGGCTTATACTGATGTCAAGCCACCACAACCTGGTTGTGTTCTGTGAGCCAAAGCTACCTAGAGGTAGAATTTCACAGTGGGAAGAGCAGGGGGGGATTTCTCCATACTAGGAATACCGTAGGTCCTTAAGCAGTGAGGAATATGCACTCCTTGAGGAATATGCACTCCTGGAATTTGTCTTTAGGAAACAAAGGTGTCCAACTAGACTCCAGGCTTTGTCAGATCAAAATAGTGTTCCACCCTACCCAGCGTATTGCAATCTTGTGGTCTCCAGACACAAAGTCTGGAGTTCCTGAGTTCTTTTTTCTTCTGGAAATCATGAATTGAGATAGGTGGAAAGAGATGCTTGAGTAAAATGTTTAAATCCACCTGAACAGGGGAGAATACGAAGAAAGCAGATAGGTAGTGTTGACCAGATGTGGGTGTTGATAGCTTATCCTGATTACTTCTACAATCCCTGTGCCTGGAAAAGGCGACCGTGTAGGTGCAGACAACAAGAAGTTGCAAACTCCAGTGGCATGAGAAGAGTGCTTCCATGGGTAAATTGCAAACAAATTGGATATTCCATAGAAAGTAAGGCATGGAGGAGACAGGTGTGTGCAGTTCTCTAGCCAAGCACATGGAGATGTGTTTGTATTGCTTATGTTCATTGTGCTGTCAGAGAAAGTCTGTGTTTCTGTGGTGTGGCAGAAGAGCTGACAGGCACTGTCCTTTGCCAGTGGGAAAGGAAGGCCTAGCTGACATTCTGTCTGCCAGGATATAGGAATTGATGTGTCCTTAAACTGATGCCATTTAGGAATAAATTAAAATTATCTGGGTTAAGATAAAACCCAGAATACTAGTTGTCACTTGGAACCAGTTGGCTTGAGGAGTAGACATCTGAAATATTTGTTTCACGATGCATAGCAACTATTTAAGTTGCTGGGAATTTTACATGGTGCAGATTGGGAATCCTGCCTCAATGTGAGACCTTATTTGTAGCTTAACCATGCCCTTCCTTCAACATAGAAGTAAAAAAGTTACCAGCTACTGTGGACCAAAATCGATTCCTAAATGCAAATGTAACTAGAACTCAATACCAGAGTGTTTTTGTCTATGTTCCTGTCTGCCATGACAGTGATCTTGCAATTGTTCTAGAGCCATTTGGAGCTATTTAGAAGTGGGAGGTTGTTGAAGACAGAAGCAGAGACACGGAGATGCTGTTGGTTTAAAGGTTGTGGTCCTTTCCCCACAGCAGGATTTTGTCTGTTACATCAGTGTGAGAGGTTTTTTTTCCTCACAAATGTAGCTGTTTTCAATGAAAATTAAGGAAAAATCTCTTATCTCTCTTCTGTTGTGGTTTATTTATTTATATTGAATGCCTGGGCATTTTAGCAGAATGTAATTGATTCGAAGCTGAGAGCAGTGGAGGTTCCTGAACAGCTTCATTCTTGCTGACAGCTCTGCAAGATCTCAGAGGATGGGATGCTGTTTCACACATACTGGCTGTGAAATAAACTTGCTTAAGTGACATTTCAAGGGAAATCCCTAATTCTCCCATGACTTCAGAGCAGATGCTTTGAACTCAGTAACAGTTTTGCATCAGAAGTGTGCTTTTTACTAACTTGAATATTTTCATACTGGAAAAATTACAGTTTATTTGATCAGCAGGAACTTCAGTGTGGGTGTTCTGCAACAAGGTCCTAAAACAGATTTTGGTGGTGACAATTCTTCATTTAATATTTTTCACCAGATCATGGGCAGGAAGCCTAATTCAAGTGAACAGAGGGAAAGTACTGAAGATAGAAGGGCTTAGGATAGGGAAGATCATTGGGGCAATTGTTCTGCCTGGGACCAGAATGTGGAAACTGGATTCCTTTGCCATGCTTGTGATACAATTGTGCTGTCGGCCTGAGTTTGGGTAATTCTTACCTGATGTGTACCTTAGTTTGCAACTTTGTGATGTGCTTCTAACCTAAATTTGAATGTATCTGATATTGAATAGGGCATTAGTTAAGCAGTGTTTTATAAAACAATTGTTGAAGTAACTTTTTCTCTTTTTCGCCCCCTATAGCACATGGCTACCAAAAAGAAATAGTTGGCATCATGGGAGAAAATGTTACTTTTCCAGTACAAATAGACCAAAAAATAGTGGAAATTACCTGGAAGAAAAGCAAGAATAAAGTGGCTGAATGGGAATATCCATACAAGCCAACATATTTTGGTCATCTTGGCAACAGGAGTGTACTTATGGAGAATGGATCCTTGACTATAGTTAACTTGGAGAAGGATGATGCTGGCATATATGAGTTAGTGTACTGGGATTCTGTGAACGAACACCAGTTAAACTTCAAACTTGTGTTAGGTAAGTACCAGAAGAACTGCTTAAAGAATGTGAAGCACTATTCCCTTCAAAATGTCTAGAAAGGGCGTTGTTTATTTGTCAAGGAAGCAAACAGAAACAGAGGGAGCTGTTCTTTGTCTCTATTTTTAAATTGCTTAGCCACTTTGAACAAATGGCTAAGATGGCACACTGCACTTTCAGGTAGACAATGAAACTTTTTGAGCAAGCTGGCCAGGTAATCCCAGGCATTATGTACCTATTAAAGATATTCCTGCAGGCATATTACACATTCCTGAACATCTGTGGCATCATCCTGTGCAGATCTACTCAGCCTCACTAGGAGTCTTGGGGAAATATATGTGACCAGTGTGTCTATTAGTCCTGTGGATGGTGAACCACGAGGACTCTTGGACTAGGAATGGGAGAACCACAAACAGGAGGTTTACAGGTCACTTTCAGAAACACATTTCTCTCTCAGGCATGTCTGCACATACCCCCACACTTTTGTCTATGCACTCTCCTGCTGCTTTTGTTGCTCCATCCCTTGTCCTGTGCTGAAATTCTATATAGTTTATAAATTAATAACTAAAGTAATTAGAATGTTTTAGAAACTAGTAAAAGGAATTTAGAAACTAAAGTGATATAGAATGCTTTCTCTCCTTCTAGATTCTCTTCCAAAACCTGAAATAAATTGCAGCACCAGTGATGATGAACTTGTATTAAACTGTACAGCAAATTTTCAGGGATCTCTGACTTACACTTGGAAGCTCAGTAACAATCCACACAGATACCAGAACCAGGAGCTTTCCATCCCTTTGAAGAATGTTGATATTACCACCAACGCTACGTGTATCATTAAATATTCACAAACAGAAAGGAGCTCTGAAATCTCTTTGATTCAATGCCTTCCAGAAGAAAAAGGTAATAAATGGTCTGAGGGGTTTGTTTGGGAAGCAGCATGGCCTTTGTAATGCTTCTCCTGACTTCCCAGGAAGTTGAATTCAAAGAGTAAAAAGCACCAGAAGTGATTTGTTGGCTAAAAGTGTGTATAAAGTTTGTGAAAAGTATGAGGATGACAGTTTGATCCCCTTGGAAAGATACTTTTTACAGGGATCTCCACAGAATAAAACCTTTAGCCATTACTTCCTTGATGGAGTAATAATAAAGATTAGAAGGTCTTAGAAGATCTCTTCTGAACCTTCTGGCCTTATGTGATTAATGCTAGGAGCTTGTCCTCTTTGTATGCTCTCCATGAATTGGAGTGAAACTATTCAGCCATTTCAAGCGAGTCATCTAGCAGCCATAAGATAAAATAATAAATAAAATAAGATTAAATAATTTCTCATCTAGCATGTGCATGAGTCAATGAGCATAGTTCCTTCCTCCTTCATGGAGAGGTATAAGATAGAAAAGAGAATTTCCCTCCTGTTGCTTATTGCTTTGGGGACAGCCTTCAGCTTGAGGCTTGAATTTTTAGGGTTTCTTTAAACACAGAGTGAGAATATGTTTGGAACCATCTGGTTTGTAGGGTGTGTAAGGCAGTCCCTAATGACAAAAGTTCTCATTTCTGTGCAAAAGTAGTTGTCATGGTTTACTAGTACAGTATTCTTCCTTTACTGGAGAAACTTGTTAGATGTGAGACATATGGTAGGTTGACCTGGCTGGCTGCCAGGTGCCCTTCAGGCTAATCTGTCACTCCCTCTCCTCTGTGGGGCAGGAAGGAGAAAATATGATAAAAGCCTCATAGGTTGAGGCAAGGACAGAGAGAGGTCATTTGGCCATTACTGTCACAGGCAAAACAGACTCGACTTTGGAAAAAGAGTTTAATTTATTGCCAGTCAAAATGAGAACAGGATAATGAGAAACAAGAGCAAATCTAAAACACTTCCCTGAAACCCCTCCTTTCTTCCCAGCCTCAACTTTGCTCCCAATATTGTTACCTGAGCAGGTCTCCCTGAGCAACACAGGGGGATGAGGAATGGGGCTTGAGTCAGCTCATTATACATTTTCCTTCCTCCTCAGGGGCCTCCTCACACTCCTCCTAACCAGTGTGGGCTCCCTCCCACAAGAGACAGTCTCCATGAACTTCTCCATGAACATGAGTCCTTCCCTCAGTTCTTCATGAACTGCTCCAGTGTGGGCTTCCCAAGGGGTCACAGGTCCTGCCAGGAGGCTGCTGCAGTGTGGGCTTCCCATGGGGTCACAGCCTCCTTTGGGCATCACCTCTTCTGATGTGGGGACCTCCATGGGCTGCAGGGGAATCCCTGCTCCAACACCTGCATCTCCTTCTGCACTGACCTTGGTTGTCTGTCTGTTGGGCAGATTCCCTCACATATTGTCACTCCCCTCTCCCCCTTGCTGTTGTTGCCCAACAGTTTTTCCCTTTTCTTCGAAGTGTTATCCCAGAGACACTGCCACAGTTGCTGATGGGCTCTGCCTTGGCCAGCAGCACATCCAGCTTGGCATTATCTCTACCTGACATGGGGGCAGCTTCTGGCATCTTCTCACAGAAACCATCAAAACCTTGCAGACAAAATCCGATACAAGATATTTGCTGAAATTTCATTTGTTTGAAACCTGGCTCAGCCTTTCATAGGCCAAGAACTGGAATAGCCATTGCCTTTCAAGTGGTGATGTGCCTTCACTGAAATGAGGTACTTAACATGTAACTGTCCTGGAGATGGCTCAGGGTTTTGCTAAAACTGACTCTGGTGCAGTAATTTATTGAGGTTACTTTTTAAAAAATAGCTATAAAACATATTTGGGGTTGTAGCTGTACTGAACTAGTGTATCATACAGTTGCTTTCTAACTAACCATTATAGTTTTTGTTTTTTTTTAAAGGAGACAGTTATCACAAACGACATAGACGTATTCTTATTTCCTTCCTTATTGTACCTGTTATCCTACTGGTAATCCTAGAATTCCTGCGCAGGAAAGGTATGCATAACATTTCCTAATTGAGCTTTATGTGCTTCCAGATTATACTCATCTAAGGTTCTGTAGAATGTGTGAAAATTTCTGACCAGCAAGTGTTTTGTAAAATCAGTAGAAGAAACAAGTCCAATTTAGGCAAAAATGAATAGATTTGAAGGAAATAATGTACTGGACTTTCTTGCATTCTGACACTGGGCTCTGAGTCCTAGGAAGCACTGCAGCTGGTATTTGCATAGTTCTCCTTCAGACTGGGTGTTTGATTTACAGTGTGTTTCTACTTACCAAGTATTTGTAGCCTCTCCTGTTCTTAACTGAGTGTGTTTTCACAGCCTAATTTTTAAGAGCATTATAAAGCTGCCCTCAAGATCCCATTTACTGTTGGAATCGGCTTGTACCAGATCTGAATATCCTATGTTGAGTCCAATCTGACAACTCAGTGTGGTCAATTGATAAATGGGACCTTCTGTGCCTCCTGACAGCTTGTGTTGCCATCATCTTGGAGTTCTGTATTTGTTTTTTGATCCATCCCTACACTGAATTCAAGTATCTTTTTTGTAAATCTGACAGTTTAATCAGAAATAGTAATTATAGGCTATCACTCTGTATCTTTTTCTGCCACATTTTTGGATTTCTGTGTTAAATTGTCTTCTGACTTGAAAAAGAGAGGCACACAGTATTTTCTCCTTGTGTTGGAGAGAGTCCCAAACAGGAATATATTTCTTCATCCTATGCCTGCTCTGCATGGAAGATTCATATTGACTTCCAGATGGGGCCACCACTTGGAGGTGGCTGCAGGGTGAAGAGTACTGGAGGCATCTCCCATCTGGGAAGGACTAATTGATGATATTCTGATCAGGACATAAATAGATATATATTGCATGTGGACCTTTTGCTTTCCTGTTCATTGTCCATTTAGTTTCTTTTGGCATGGAATCATAAAATAAACTAGGTGGGAAGATATCTCTGGAAGTTTCAACCAACTTGCTGCTCAAAGGATGACCAACTTCAAAGCTAGATCAGGTTGCTTAAGGCCTTGTCCAGTCAAACTTTGAATAGTTCCAAGGGTGGGAATTTCCCAGTCTCTTTCAGCAAGTGTTGAACTGTTGAATCACTCTTGTAGGGAAGGAAATTGTCTTTATTTCTGTAAGGGATTGCCCTTTGGCAACTGGTAGCCATTGCCTCCTGGTTTTTTCTGAGAGGGGTTTCCTTTGTTTTCTGTAGTTAGTTGTAGACTGCAGTGAGCCACCATCGTCTTATCCTCCTTCTTGAGGCTGAACAAAGCCAGTTCTCTCAGCACCTCCTTGCACAGCTCCTGCCCCTAGACATCTTGGTGGACATTTGCTGGACTAACTTCAGAAACATGGTGTTTTTACATTAATTGGGAGACTTAAAACTAGAGAGAGTACTCCACATGTGGTGTCCCCAATATCGAATAGAGAGGAGGAATTATTTGTGTTGATGGGCTGACTGCTCTTCTGCTAACACAGCCCAGTACTTGGAAGCCTTCTACTGCAAGGGCACATTTTTCTGTGTAATGTTGAGCTTGTTCATGCTTTCAGGTCCTTTCCTGCAGAGCTGTTTCCTAGCCAGGCAAAGCCCAGCCCCTGGTGGTCCATGGGCTGACTTAAGAGATTCAGGACTTTGTTTGCCTTTGAATAGCACACCTTTTCTGCCAGCATGTTTCTCCAGATTGTTGAAGTCAGTTGGGTGGCAAGCCTGCTTTCCAGCATGTCCCCTACTCTCCTCAGTTTGATGTCATCTGGAGGCTTTCTGAAAGTGCCTTCTGTGTCCTTGTTCATGTTGGTGGTGTTAAACAAACTGCTCTTGGTGTTAACACACAAAGAATGTCACTTAAAACTGACCATCAGTTAGAATCAAAACAATTCCGTTGATTCCCTTGAAACAATAGGGGTTTGAACATGCAAGAAAATAAACCTGTTATACCATGGTAGGAGAAACATTGCACAGGTATAATCAAACAGCAGAAGTTTGCTGTTTTAAGTACAAGATATATAATCAGAAATTGTTAAGCTCCACCTTAGATTTGATTAGATGTGTTCTGACTTGCTGTGATAGGAGACCCAGTTGCAGTATTCAGTTGCATGTTTTTAGTGAAGTGTATTATTTTTTGGTTCGGGGGTTGGAGAGGGGGATGGAATGGATGGAGGCTGTCAACAAGCTTGCAAAGGAACAAAACTTTGTAATTTCTCCAAATATTCTATTTGTGTGCAGGTATAATTAAACTTGGAAGAAAGACTGCTCAGAATAATAGTCCAGTGAATGGCTCAGGTAAGAAAGTGTCACAAGTGTGTGGAAATCAGACTGGTGCTTGGTCTGGGCTTGTCAGTTTTTATTGTGTCAGTGTAGTCTTTCATTGGAGAGGTAAAGGAGTAAGTTTTCTTTGAGTGTAGTTATTTTGTTTCCAGATCATTAATACATACTTTCTAAAACAAATAAATTTCTTTACAGGAGAGCACGAGCAACTTTACCCTGGGAACAGCCAACAACAATCTAACTCAGAGAGAGGTCAGAAACCTGTATTGGGGTATTAATGTTTCTAAACACCTGCTCTTGGTTGGAGCAGGGAGTCTGATTTGCTATTTCCTTTTTTGCAGGGTCTGAGCTTTTGAATTGGTTTTCAAAGTGGGCACATGCAGAGTCAAAATCTCACTTGAGGTCCAATACTGGATGATTATAGGAACCTGCATCTAGTGAATGTGTTAGTGGGGCTGGCAAAGTTACTGACAGTGAATGGCCTGAGATTTTCCTGGTCAGCAGCTGTCTTTGGAGGTGAATTACCTTTCTAACAATGGAGAATTGGGGCTGGCCTCAGACTGAGGGCTGGAAAAGTGCACACTGTAGGGCAATCTGTCATTCCCCTCTTCCTGTCCAGATCTCTGCCTGGGCTTCTGCCGTAAATTCTAATCTGCATTGAGTTGGGGTTTTTTTGGTGGGTTTTTTGGTTTTTTTTTGTTTTGTTTTGTTTTTGTTTTTTTGGAGGATTTTTGTTTGGTTGGTTGTGAATTTTTGTTTTGTTTTTTTTTTCTTAGTGGTTTGTTGAATTGTTTTGGGGTTTTTTTACTTCCTTAATTTGCAGCAAGATTGTGCTGTTTTCTGGCTTCTTGTGTGTTGGGCTGTGGAAATCACTTTATACAGTGAGCAGCTAGGGAGGGGGACAACTCCTTTAGTCTGTGCCCCTTTCTTAGGATTGAATTTGGCTATCATATTCTAGCTTGTTGCCAGGACTGTGGTCTGTTATAGGAACCAAACAAAATTAATCCCCATGACAGTCAAGCAGACGGGGGAAACCAGGGGAAGATTCTTAAGAAATGTTCTGTTCCCAGCCCAAACAGTGTTTCAGTGGGGAATGGCCAGAGCTCCTGCCATCAGGTGCAGGCTCAGTGCCCTCTTGGACTGTTCTGGTGTTGAGCTCTCAGTGCCTTCATGTGGGTGCTCAGTCTGGTACCTTACATTTGTTAAAGCTGTGGTTCTAGCCCATGGTTCAGAGCCTGCTGAGGTTGAGACTATGGATGAATCTGAAAGTGAGAAAATGAGGAGGATGGGTAGGAAAAAAACCCCAATAAACCCCCCAAAAAACCTCATTTTGGTACTGCACTTAAATTTGCTTTATAATGTTTCCATTAAAGATTCTTTAAGGTCAGCAAAGAGCAAGGGTTTAAAGTTACAGTGTTAGTGCAACACAGATGAAGTAAAAAAAGTAGATGCTGGTTCTCAGCTATCTCTGGCTCTTTTTGGCAGATCTGTGCAGCTTTACCAATAGATCTACATGGGCAAGACTTTTGTGAAGTTGTAGGCACAAATATAAACAATGCTGGTCATAGTCTGGGACCTTAAGTGGTTGGAGGGAAGCTAAAGTTGAAATTAATTGTGAGTCCTTAAAGTGGCATAACATAGTGGTTCTCAGGAATATCTTTAGAAAGTGTTATAATGAAGTTGTCACTTTAGGGCTGAGTTGCATATTGTGCCAGAGTTTTCCATTCCCCTGTTGGCCTAGAAGAACTTGTTGCCTTAGGAACAGTAAATGTTGATGGGTAGATCAGTAGAGGAGAAATAAGAAAGACCTGGAGGCTGGGTTTGATAAACAGCACAGAGCAAACACCTTCTTGGGGCTTCACCTTCCCTCTTGATATGATGACAATGATGCTGCTTTTGCCATCTGTGGGGAGAAGAACTAAGCATGGAGGAAAGATAAGAGCTTCAGCACATCAGTCTAGAGATGGGATGCTTAGCAGCTTGCAAAATTCATATTTGGGAGATACTTCATCCAGAAATGTTGTTCTCTAAGGAACAACGCCTACTGTATCTTCCTCTTGCTTTATGCTTTAGGAAAGTCTTTGACTGCCTTCATCAGGCAGTTAAGCAAAGCTCCAGTTTTGTTTTCTTAGTCCAGTCAGTGTGAATTTCAAGGAAGTCTGGGACCTGTATTTTTTCTAGAAGTTCTTTTAATGCCAAAGGGTTAGTGAAATCGAACATTATTGTTCACCTTGAGAAAAAATGTCAGTTTTTTCCCCAGTCTTTTGCACTAGTGATTCATTCACTCATTAACTCTTCCACCATTTCCACAAGTGGCCGATAATAAGGGGTTGGTGAAAGCAGAAGTATTTCCTATAAAGGAAAAATAATCACCAATGATGACAATAAGGAAAAAGAAACTCAAAAAAATTCAGAAGCCCCTGAGGTTTGCTGTTTATTCTTCTTGCATGTATTGTAGTGGGTATGGAACAGCTTTCTTTCATCTGAAGAAACAGGGATTGTGTAGTTGATGGTGAAGGTGTGGTGCACTGCAGGATTGTGTCATCACCTGTGTGACTGTTTCCATATACATAGACCTGGGTATAGGAAAAGGAGAATTGTTTTACACCTGATTTAAAGTAGAAAGGAGGGAAACACACAGTTCAGGCAAGAGAGAAATCAGGTCCATAGATAAAGGTTGTCCGTTTGGACACAAGTTACAGAAAATAAAATCCTTTATTTTGTTGCAGAATAAAATGGGAACATCAGGCAGGGGAGTCAGTGCACCTCTATGCAGTGCAGCCAGCAGCACCTGGGGAACAGGCAGTCACTGCTCTAGGGGTGGGAAATAGCAGGCAAAGCTATGATGTCCTCTGAACAAAGCAATTTCAAGCAGGGCTTTTGCTGATAGCACAGCAGCACTGAACGTGCAGAGGGAAGGTGTGGCCTGTGCTGGGGAGGGGCAGAAGCCATGGACTGTGCTCCTCAGGGACTGCGGTTCCCTGATCTCTTTTTGTTCTCTGATCTCTTTTCAGACAGAGCATTGAATGAGAATGACATGAAAGACAAGCAGATAGTTAAGAATGGTGTAAATCAGGAAGGTAAGTGCCTGTTCTATGGAGCAGTGAGTGCTACTGACCCAGCAGGCAAACTGGCCATGATCCCTTCATAGAATCATAGAATCTGGTGAGTTGGAAGGGACACATCAGGATTGACTCCAGCTCCTGCCCTGCCAATGACACCCCAAAAATCACACCATATCCCTGAGAGTGTGTTCAAGTGCTTCTTGGACTCTGTCAGGCTGGGTGCTGTGACCACTTCCCTGGGGAGCCTGTTCCAGTGCCCAACCACCCTCTGGGTGAAAAACCCTTTCTTGATATCTGGCCTAAACCTCCCCTGACTCAGCTGTTTCCTTGAGTCCTGTCACTGGTCATGAGAGTGAGGAGATCGTACCTGTCTCTCCTCTTCCCCACATGAGGAAGTTGTAGACTGTGGTGAGGTCTCTCTTCAGTCTCCTCCAGGCTGAACAGACCAAGTGACCTCAACCACTCCTCATAAGGCTTCCCCTCCAGACCCTTCACCATCCTCATGGCCCTCCTTTGGATGCTCTCAGGAGCCTTTTTATATTGTGTATGCACACAGAAACCATGCAGATGGCCATGATATGAATGAAGGAGGTAGTGCCTGGACTGTGGAGCAGTCTTTGTTCAGTGTGAGTTTTGCCTCATACCACCTAATGGGTGGCACCACAGGCACTGAGTGCTTCCTGTGCTTGTGGAGGGATTGTGAAGACAGTGCAGATCAGGAATGGAGGAGAGAAGGGAGGTGTTGGATGGTGATCCCATGGGAGTGAGGCATGTTGGTCAGGGTTACTATTGTTGCCAAACAAATGGTCCAAATCTCAATCAGATTGTTCTTGATCCATCTGGGGCAGAGAGGCAGAGCGTTGTGAGGTCCAGAATTGTCTGAATATTGCCTTTGTCCTTGCAGAAGCGACCCAGGATGCAGAAGGTGAAAATGGGGTGCACCTGGACAGCTCTTCCAACGGTGCTAAAGAACGTATGTGAGGTTGGAGCTCTCTGTCTTGGGAGAGTGTGCTGACTGACACTGAGGTTGACACTGAATAATTTTCCTTTCTTGGAAAAAAAAAGAAAAATGTCATTTTGTCTGTTATACAGTCCTTACTTGAGTGGTGTAACTGTGGGCCTCTTACACTAATTTCTGATATTTCTATTGTAGGTGAGTGGTCACCAATCCTTTTGTGATTGTCTACCATATCAGTAAAATACTTTGAACATGCACACCCTATTTATGTCTATTTATAAGTTATATACAATTATTACCATTCTCAAGTATGACATATATTATAAAATATGCACAAAATAAAGGTTTAAAAATTATAATGATGAAATAAATAGTACTTATATTTTTAAAATTTTATTACTGGTGCAAAAATACTTTTTTCCTGCACCACAATGGATTGCCTTGTGCACACCCACTTTGGAGTCTGCTGGTGCAGGTAATCCATTTAAACATTCTCAAAATGCACAGCTGTGTGAAAGCAAGTGGCACCTTACTGCTGCAGGGTATTTTGTTCTGCCAAGTTTGATACTTCTGTTGAATTACCAGCCAATCAATTGCATCTATAAATTCTGGTATTTGCTGAAGACAATGTTGAAAAGAGGGGTGCAAAAGTCTCTGAATGTGAAAAAACATGAATGAATGGGAGGCTGGGAGAGAGTTAGGACTGAGTATAAAAAACCTGACTCTGTGATGCAGACAAAACGGCTGATGAATTTGTCATGAAACGAGGAAACGAACTTGGAATAGTCTGTATAGTTGCAGAGGGAGTTGTGGTGTGTTGTAATAGCTGAGTAAGATCCTGTTAGCTGACAATGAGCAATACTGAAAGCCAAATGAAGCAACTCAGTGTATTATTCCTGGTCCATGTGACGTGCTGCTTTGCTGGGCTAAACAGCTGTGCTCCTGAGTCACCCTTAAAGGTTTAGCATCTGGAACTGCTCTGCTCTTATGTCCTGCTGAGGCACCAGATGCAGCTGTGCTTGCTTTGGTTCTGTTTGCAAACCACCTGAGAACAGAGCATTTTGTGTGTTCTGGGGGTAGGGGGTGGGTATGAAAACTGGTGCTTACCCTTGAAGCTGTAAAGTGACAGAACCCTATTTCATATTCAGGCCCTCTCACTGCACAGACACAAGGAAATAGCGTGTGCGCGCACACACACACACACACACACACACCCCTGGCTTTTTGGTTGTGTTCTTTAGTATCATCAGTAAGGTAAAGCAGTAATGTTGCTTGGATTTTAAAGACATGAGTCATAAAAATACTTCAAGCCTGTCCAGGGACCTTGTGAGAACCAGGCTAGGGACAGCTTTCTTTTTGTCATCATCTACAGAGCTGTGTACCATATGTCACCATCCTCTGCTCTCCTACACCGTCTCCTGACATCTTATCTTGGTGTGATGCTGAGCTAGAGATTAGTGGAAGGGACGGGTAGTGCTATCAAAATGGGAGCAAAGACCAAAGGATGTGTCCTGGCACATCCAGGTGGCTTCCCCTTACAGAGTTGCTATGTTTGCAACAAGGTGGAAACAGTGATGTAAGTGGGCTTGTGGGTGCTTTGTTGGAAACCAGCCTGGTTAGAGGCTGATGCATGTTTCATGTGGTGAGTTAGGCTGGGCATGTAGTCTTGAACTTCCTGCACTGTAACTTCCCTTGGCCTTCAGTCTCCTTGTCAAATAAGAGCTGTATTTTCAATCCTCAAAAGAGAAACCTCCAAAAGCACCTGGCATTATTGTGTGGAAGAAATAGCAGCAGCAACACGTGCATGTGTGATGCACCACTTATATTGAGATAATGGATATAAAACATTTGAAGTGGTGTCTTAACTGCCTGATTATGTGATCCAAAGTCATGGAGTCAGAAGAACCTCACAGGTTAACAGCTGCTTAGCAGGTGGCTGGCAGTAAGTAATAAATGTTCTAAATGTGGTCCAGTTGCACAGGAATGTGCTTAATCCTAAACAGATAATTTGGGTAAAATGTTTAGAGGCAATCAGCTACCATTGGTGAGGTACCTCCTCTGACTGGATTGTTAACAAGTCATGGGACAGTGTCTTGGTGCATCTTCACAGCCCTCATTGGTATCTAAAGCCTGCAGTATTCTCGTGTACCCAGTTCAGTTTCTAGAAGAAAAGACATAGTAATTTACCTGGGTGCTTTTCTTATTCTTTTGTTTCAGATCTTAAAGCATAAGCAAATGATTGCTTTGTTGTCCAAACAAACATGGAAGACAAACAGGAGAATTCAGTGATGAAGGAGGTGCTACCTTTTCCCTTCCACAAGCAATGAAGTTGTCAGAGCTTCATCAAGAAGCCCTTTGAAGACAGGCTGAACTGTTTCCAGTGCCTATTTTTCTTTCCTCAGGAAAAACAACATCCTTTTTTAGTTTTACTATGTGAGGACAAATAGGCCAAATCATGGAAAAAATGTTTTGAATTATTTTTTACATGCTTTTAACAAACCATTTGGTTTATTAAAAAGTCCTAAAAGTTTAAAAAATATTTGTTTGTTATATGGTTTGTTTTATGAGGTTTTTCTACTAACACACTAAAGCCTCTTTGTAGTTAATATTTAGAGATTTACAAAGTTATATATATTTGCATGAATGTGAACAATCAAAAACTGATCAGCTTTCACTTTTTTATCAGTACCTTTTTACAGTCAGAAAAAAAAACTTCATCCTTCAACAGGCCCAGATGGTGGAAGTTTGCATATTCTAGTCTTGGTTCTAGACAAAGCTATGTCCTAGATTTGCCAGATGCCTGGCAAATGGATCATCTCCTGACAGTGGTTCATTCTGTGATAAAACTACATTTCAGCTTGTTGTTGCAAAGCTGTTATTAACAGCAGGTTTGGGCTTTTCCTAAAGCTTTTTATATTTTTTAAACTTTTAGGACTTTTTAAGCCTTTGCTCTTCATATTTTTCGAAGAATGTCATCTGACTCCTACTCATTCCTAGGAAATAATAGTATGTTTTTAAGTTGCTTGAGACTAGAACAAAAACTTGAAAACTGAGGTCGTGTATATAATTAAATTTAAAAAGAATCAAAAAGAAAACCACCATGCATTAAGAACACCATGCTTTCAGAACATCAATTTATGGGGTGTTTTTCATTATGTTTACATGTTGGCTGTTTGTGAAACTTGAAAGCCAGTTTAGTTCATTTTGAACCTGGTATGTGTAAAGAATCATGTAGCTCTGACACTGGTAACCAAAGATCAGAAGACACTGGTAACCTGCAGCTTTCCGCTTGTTTTGATTTTTGCCCTTTCCACTCCCACAATTTCTTCTTCTATATGCACCCGTACTGCATGAGTGATCAGCTTGTATACTGTATACTGTATATTTGTATGTAAAAATGTTCAAAAGTCACTTTTGATAGGACCTTTTACATGTACTTCTCTCTGTAAATATTTGTAATTTATTAAAAAAACCATTCAAGATGTAAAAAACATTGTCATATCTTTTTGTAATATATACATGCATTTTTTAATTTAACCTTAAAAGTTACTAACTGATCCCCAAAATAATAATAATAATAACCAAAGTGATGTATTTTATACAGGCTTTTTTATTTGTTTGTTTGGTTGCTGTGTTTTGTGGGGGTCAGTATTCCTGACCCAAGTGTCCTTTTCCATTCTACCTTCAATAAATTTATCAGGATAATGCTGTCTGCTTCTTAATAACTTTTTAACAAGTCTCTTCACAAAGATATCCTTTGTTGTGGTTATCATGGTAAAAGTAAACCTGTAGCTTGTTTGCCTGCTTGGGCAAAGTCTTATTTTTTGTTATTAATGTGAGAAATAATAGTAAAAAAATTATTGGTGAAACTGGCTGAAACTACTCCCAGCAACTATACCAGTTTGTGTCATGGTCTCCATTCATCCCGTGCAATTTCATACTAAACAACACAGAAGGGTTCATATTGTGTGGTTTTGAAAATTCTTTGACTCCTGGTATAACTGACATTGTTTCCAAAGCAAGAAGCAACAGCCTTCAAAAATAGTAAGCAGCTGTGTTTAATTAACCTCAGTTGCTGGAAATCTTCAGAATAGTTTGTGGAATTTTGGAGCTTGATCAGAAGTAGAAAAATCCATTTACATGGGAGGCTGACATAAGATCAAGAACTACAAGCTCAACAGTCTCACTGCCAGCTTTCACCCTTTTACCTTGCATAGGTTCTTCTGGGCATGAGAAACTTCGGGTAGAACTGCAAACCACAGTTTTCAAAGCAACAGTGAAGCTTTTTTTTTTTTAATTGGTATTGTTGTTTCTTTGGGTTTTATGAGGGGTAGATTTTGGGGTTTTTTTTCCTATAAGGATGGGAAGTCAGACATTTGGGAGAATAAATTCACCTCACTTCTTGCTGGTTTTGGTGACAGTATTTGCAATGCCATTCCCTGTGTCCTTCTCTTCAAATGTCCCCTCAATAACTAAAGAAGAATAAACTTTGTTTTTCTGTGAAAAGCTTGTGTCCAATCTTACTTTGCAGTGAATGGAAAAACAGGCAGTTTTCAATAGCAGAGAGTAGAAGCTCACTTGAAATGCAGTTATTTTTGTCCTGTAAGCAACTTGAACCCAGGAAATGCTGATTGTATTCCAGGAAGTGAGCCTGCCCTCTAACATCCCTGATGCTGGTGGTAAGACCTGTTTTTGTTAATAACCAAACTCACAGTGAGTAGAAGCTGCTGCTAAGTACTTGTGCTCACAAGACACAGCCTGATTGATTCCTTGGTCCTGACTCTCCTTGCTTTATACTAGCTTTAACCTATGAAAGCAGTGCCTACAGGAGATGTTGCTCCTAATTAATCCCAGAATAAATGAGATCAGAGCTCGATATCTGCTGCAGAGCTGAAAGTGTGAATTTTGGTCCCAAAACTCAACCCACAGTTGGGCAGGCAGCTTTTTGTTGTGCTGACATGCCCAGCTTTCAGTTGTTTACAAACACACTGTGCTGGATCTCTCTGTGCTGCTGAAAACTTGCATCTTCCACACATTAGCATTGGCTGCACAACTGTTGGGAACAATCTCTTACAGATTCCAGTGTGAAAGCAGTCCTGTGAGTTGAGACAGCCTTCATCAGTGCCTTAGAGATAGCTTCATATGGAGCTGCACGAGCAGAGGTGAGAGGATTGGCTTGCAGCAGCAGGACTGCAGCTGAAGATCAGGGCAGCAGGAGCATCAGCAGGCAGCGTGGTTGCCTTGTGAGCTGACTTGTACCTGTGCCTTAAAACCAGGGACTGATTATGCCTGGCAGACTGCAAGGAGATGACACACACCATGTGTGGCATCCTGCTGCTGGAACACAGCTTTGCAGTCCTCTTCAAGCAGTAGCAGCATAATTTAGGGACACGCAAAGCAAAAGGGCGAGGTGAGCGTGTCTGCTTGACCATCTCTGGGTGCAGTTTGAACTGTGGGGCAGGGACAAGGACATAAAACATTTCTAGGGACCCTAATGAGCATGTAAATGCTCAAAATTCTGAGGAACTTTGCCTTAGCATGACTTCAAGGGAATTTCCCTCCTTAAAAGATGTTGAGTAGAGTTGATTGTGGGGCATTATCTTGGCCAGTGGAGCTTAACAAGTGGGAGAAACCAGTGTACCCTGTGCTCAAGGACACATTTAAATTTCTAAACTATGAAATTTTATGTGAAAAATGCAGATGCTTCTTTATCCCTGTTGGATGTCTGAAGAGATGCTTGTGGGTCACAAAGCTTACCAATTTTTTCCATCAGCTGTGCTTCTCTACCTAGAAAAAAAAATTCCTAGCCTTATAAGTTGCAAGTTTCTTTCCAATTTAGAATGTGTTTTACTCTTCTATCATACCCAGTTATATTTGTTTACCATTGCTTTTCACTGGGGAGTATCAGTGCACTTCAAGTATGCAGTTTTGATCCTCTTTTGCTTCCCGGGGAAGAGAGGAGAGAAGAGAGTGGAGTTGGAACAGGAAGATGGAATGGAAGTGAACAGAACAATCAGTGATTGGTGGGAGTAAGTGCAAAGGAGATCCAGAAAGATTCTGTGCAGAGTACTGCAAAACAGACAATTTTAGGGCTACAAAGATAAATTAATTCCAGAATAACATTTTTAATGCTGACCTTATACTGCAATAAGCTGTCTTGCAGTCCTGACTCCAGATATTGGCATTTTCCATTGATATTGGTGTTTTCCTCTAGGTCTGGTTGAGAATTACATTTTCAGATGTTTCGCTTCCAGTTGCAAATTCTCCGTTTTAAGTAAGTATTAAGCTAAACTAAACTAATTTAACTAAACTAATCACCTTGATGTTGATGGTGGTGTCTCCCATTTAAGCCAGAGGATTGTCTCAGAGGGACAACACTTGAAAAAGTGGCAAGAAGCTTTAAGTGCCAGAATGGCAGCCTGAAGCTCTGTGTCTGGGTGACACTGCTCTGCTGGGGCAGGACTTAGACACAGCAGTGCAGGAAATTATTCCCAGCTTCCCTCTGCTGTGTGAAGTGTGAAGATCCCAAGGAAGGCCATTGATTCAGAGGGAGAGAAAAAGGTTCCTTGAGATAGCTGTTCTGCATTAAAAGCTGTAGGAGGCAGGTTGCTGCCCACTTACTCAATGGGCATTTGGTGAGTGTGAGGGTGATTAGCAATGTGGGATGCTTAGTTGTAGATGTTTTCAAGGGCCAATATAGTTGGTTTTTTTTTCTAGAGAAATTAGAAATTGGTGAAGACATTCAATATTTTAACTTATCTTTAGGACATCTGAAAGAGGGGCCTGTACCCTTGGGGAATTGATCTCACCAATATCATCAGGACTCAGGGTAATGCAAAGCCAGCAGGCAGGATGAGCCAAAGCTTGGATTTAATCCCCACAGGGATGGGGGGCTTGTTCCCTGTGAAAAGATGATGTGACTCAGGAATGCTGCATATCACATCTCCCTTTACATCTACTCTGCAGTGTGCCAGGGTCCTGGGAAAAGCTGCACTGGCTTCCAGAGGTGTGGACCTGGTTGGTTCCTGTGGCCCACCTAGCAGGCAAAAAGGTCATGGGAAACAATACTTAATTTGGGATCACTGTTAGATGATCTACAAGTAAATAACTGTATGGAATGCAGTCAGACTACAGTTCTCAGGCTCCATCATGGCTCTGAACCATGAGTTTTGCTGAACAGCACTGATTAAGGATGAAAGTCCTCTGGTCAACTCTAGAGTATATTAACCAGAACTCATAATATGCTTTTTCTAATCACTACAGTGTCACAGTGGTAACATGCATATGGTGATTTGGAACACTGTAATCCCTAGTAATGCGCTCCACATTAATAATTATTTATCATCTGGTTGTTTTTCAGTTCTGTCTTTCTGAAGCCAAATAAATTAGGACAGAAGTTCATTGCAGTGGCAAAGTCAAACACTGAAAGACTAAAGATTGCTGAATTCAGTATTTGCTGCAGTCTTCCCTTACTCCCCCAGTTCTGAAAATAGACTTTTATTTTCAGCAGATTCCTCTTGTTGGTAGAAAAATGATCTGCTTCAACATTTATTTTGATTTTTTGCATTAACTTTGTGTAACCCACAGGCTTTTGGAGATGTACTTTTAAGTAATGCACTTTCTCTCAAATGTTTTTGAGTTATAATGTTCACATCATAACATCTGACCATTTCCCAAACTGGATATGGGGAGAGTCCTTTTATCTTCTGAGATAGGACAGCTCAAATTTGTGCAGTTGACAGTTCAACACAGACATTTGGCCAGTGTTTACCTTAAATACATATTCAGCTGAATGTTTTGGTTTTTGTACAGCATGGGGGAGCTCAAACAGATGTACAGGTAACATCCAGTTCTTCAGAAAGGCATTTAGCAGCCTTCTTGTTGTTTTTATTTGCCTGCCCACCTCCCACCTATATCTGCCCTGCTCATGTTGAGGACGTAAAATGTCAAACTGACAATTCGAGTGCAGCAAAACAGCAAACATATGTGAGTAATGGGAAATCTCTACCTGAGGCTGCCCCACGTGCCATCAGTGGGAAAACATGGTCCAAGAGAGAGATTGCTGTACTGTCTCAGCCCCTGGAAGACCCATGAAGATGGATGCAACCCTCTATCATTACCAATATCAGCCATTTTAAACTCCTGCCTTAGGAGTAGAGCTCTGTGTCTGTGTGTGTTCGTGTATGGAGAGGTGTGACATTATCTATAAGAAATGTGGGCTTGGGGGAACATAATTCCAATCTTCTGATAGAACTCTACTTCCCCTCATAAGTTCAGGAATCACAAGATACACTGCCTATTTTCTTTTTTTTAATGTCTAAATTGTCTCCAGATCCTCAGGCTGAGGATGAATTCCATTTTAATACCTTGTTATACATGTGTGACAGTGGCATAAGAGTGCTACATTATATCTCTGGACATAATAACTTTCTAATTTCATCTTTTTTGTATTTTTCTATTTGTAAGCATGCAAGACACTACCTCTGTGATCAAAGCTGTTTCACCCACAATATCATTTCTTTGACCAGTATGTCATAAGGACAGTAAAAGAACAGTGGCTTTGGCAGCTGTTTCACCCACCAAGTGGCATTCTTGCTGTTTTGAGCATGTTTCTGTATGGCAAAGGTATGTAAAATGTCAGACTTTTCAAAAGGTCTAAGTGATGTGGAGTATCTTATGTTCTCAGCATCCAACACCAAACAGG